TTTTTAACAAGTGATATTTTTTTTTTTAATTGTTTAATTGAAATTTTTTGGATAAAAAAATTTCTAAAAATTTTGAAATGTCAGCTAACTTCATTTTCATATAATTTTACATTAAAAAAAGAACATTCTTTTTTTGTAGAACACATTTATGTGAGCTTCCCTTGAGCAACAATTTAATATGAGTGATCTATTATTTAAAATTTTGTAGGTTATCTTACTTTTTGTAAGTATATTCTTCAATAAGAAGACATTTTTTTCTATTTATTTTTTACTTTTAAAATTATATTTTATCAATTATTAATTCAACTATTTAGTTTAATAATGAAGGATATAAATTTATTTTTAATTATTTTCTTAATACTATAAATAATTATCAAGTCAGATTTAAATTTTTATCAAAAATTTTATTGATTTCCAAAAACTAAAAATTACATAATATAAACAAAATGTTTTTATATTTATTTATTTATTTATTAAAAAAGCTTTTTCAGTTTCACATCAGCTGGCATAGAATAATTCTAGAACAGAAAAAAAAATAAAATAAAAAAAAATTCATCATTTAAAAGCTGATCTTTGCTATTTTAAGTACCATAAAAAATAAAATTACCTAAGCGGCAGCTTTGACAAATTTTTTTTGTCCTTTAATCCAGATTCTCTTCATTCTTTCGTACAATTCTGAAGAACCAGAAAGACCAGGCACTAATTCTAGAAGCCTATTCTTGAAGTAATCAACACAAGCTTTTTGAGCAGCATCACGTGCCGTCAAGTTTGGATAGATTTGACCTAATTCAGAACAGTTTGCAGTGAGTTCAAGAGCTGCTATGACAGCTTTCACGGCATCTTTGTTCATCTCTTCAGCATTTTTGACCGCATTTTGAGTTTCATTGTAAAAAGTTTCCCATTCGAGTTTAGCAGCCAATTCAATGTCAGTCAAATTTTTAAGCTCAACTTTCAATTTATAGTCATTGCTATTAACTCCAGCCGCGTAGTAATCGTTGGCTTTAGTTTTTAGAATGAAATTAAGTTTGGCTGCTTCTTCGGCTTTTAAACTAGCGGTCAAGACTTTTATTGTCGCTTCTTCTTGTGCGTTAAGGATTTCTTCCCTCTGTTCTTCTGAATTCCCAGCCGCTGAATGAACCTTTGAGGAAAAAAAAATTCAGTTATAATAATTAACTACAGTGAATTTTTAATAATAAAATTAATAATTACCACATTCAGAAGCCCGAAGAAAGCGACGATACAAAAAGCCCGTAAGAACATTTCTTCTTTTGAAAATTCGATAAATGTCAACGAGATTGATTTTATGAATAGTTGATTTGTTGTGGTGATCTTTATGAAGTTACGGTATATATATATACTGATTTCTACTATGAGTGACACTAAAAAACTATTCGACAAAGTCTGTAGAGCACTTGTGAAAATATGCTTCTTATCACTTATGATATTAACATAATCATAGTTAGTTATTAATAAAAACTCTTACAAAATTAAGACGAAAACATATTTTTCCGTCAGTGTCGAAATTAATTTACATATTACAAAAGTTTTTTTTTTCAGGTGAATTCAATATCGTACTGTGACATACTAAGTAAATATTATATAGATTTTCTTCTGTAACTCAATCAATGGTATATGGTATAATATTATTTACATTTTTACAACGTAAGAATACATTATTAAAATCAATATATGCTTCTAAAATATTTTATGTTATTATTGAGTAAAGTTACAAAATATTTTATCTATTTTTGAACAACTGTTTTTAAAAACAAAATTTTTATTTTTTTTTATAAAAATATCATCCCATTAGCCCGTCAACAGAAATATCAGGATTAAAATTGACCATGGAATTTCCAGTTTGTTGCGACGAATCAATAGCAAAATTTACCAATTGCTTGGTTAACAGTCCAACCTGATTGGTCCAATTGAAGATATCCTGGACTATCTCCTTCGCTGTAATTTGAGCATCTTTAAGAGCTGCAGACGCGTCAGCCACTGATTTATTCATCATTCCATTGACATCTGGTAAAATTGGAGCTTTTGCAGGCGCTGGATTCACCTACAATATTGATTCTTCATTAGAAGATCATTTGAAACAATTAAAAATAAAAAATATTCACTCACCTGGTCATAAATGAAAAGACTGAGCAGCAGAGCGAATAAAAATTGACAGAACATGTTAAAGAATTTCTTCAGAAGACAAAATTGAGAGTGGAAAAATTGCGATAAGTCTCTCTATTTATATTTAGGTAAAGTGATACTTTTTCTACGTAAGATTGACATCGACACTTGGATAAATAACATTTATAAATTTTAATACCGACAATTTGATAAATAGTTGTTTCTTGAAAATTCAAAGAATTTTTTAATAAAAATGTAATTATAATAATTTTTAGTTCTTTCGCTAGAATATTATTTTATATATTATTTTCAGTCTTTAATCGCTTCAATAAACTCATAAAATTCGAATTTCTTCAGCTTTCCGTTTGTTACGATACGTCGAATCGGTTGACATATTATTAATTTAAAAATAATTCAACAACTGAGTCAAGAAGATATGAAAAAAATATTTGTGTTATTTAAACAACAATTATTTATACCGAAAAAGTTCACTAACTTTTAAATTGCTAAAAAAAAATATTTATTTTTATTGAAATTAAAATAATCATTAAGTTTAGAAAATTTTCTCACATTTTGCAATTTTTACATTTTTAATCTATGGGTCATTCCATGTCAAATCGACCACTAATTGGAATCGACCCCTTTCAATTTGGATGAATTTTGGTCAGAAGTTTTCTTTTATCATAAAACAAAGTTCTGCCAAAGGAAAAAAAATAAAAAAAATTTTTTTTGAAAGATATACAAATTCAAAATTTCGCGATTTTTCCAGTTTTTCAATTTTGTTTTTGCAATATCTCGAATGCTATTATAGATACAGGAATGGGCTTTTGTTTGTTTAAAAGGGGACACTTGGGGCTATTGAAAAAAAAAAATATTTTGAAAAAAAATTTCGAAAAATGCCAAATTTGTCAAATTTTGAATTTTTGAAAATTGTCAAAAATGAAGATCG